ATGATCGACGTAAATAGCGAAACATGTTTATAAAGATATTTCTGCTTATTATTTATTTAATCATATCAAAATTGATCCGGTGTGAAAGCTATCATAACTTTTTTCCTCTTTACTGTTTTTTTTTTTTTTTTTTTTTTTTGTATTCAGAAGATACATCAGTAAATAAAAATGATGTTAAAATGAAAGAAATACGACGAAATCTAATAAGGAACAATTACTTATCGCAGAAATTCAAATGATAAAATTATATATTTTAAATGCTTATCAAACTAAAATCACTCGGAGATTATATATTAAGAAACTCATTACACTATAGAGATTAGCATAATAAACATCACGCCATATAGTAAAAACACTATTTATGAATAGACGTATATATTGGTCGATAAATGTGATGGGTATTTTTCTGACTCTAGCTCAATCTATACAATTCTCAAGAGCCACTCAAGGTAGAGGGTTACTGAAGGAGTTTGCTGCGTATGTAATAAGAATCAGAATAAGACTATCTACCTATCTCAGTCTTTGCGTATCTATCTATCTATCTATCTATCTATCTATCTATCTATCTATTGCAGCCTTTTCATATCTATCTATGTATCTATCTATGTATCTACCTATCTCAGTCTGTTCATTATCTATCTATCTCAGAGAGTTCCCTATCTATCTAGCTATGTCCGTTCAAAGACATTCGGATTACTAACACAAAAACAGAGAATGTCTCATATCGAGAATATGTAACATTGAAAAACATAAGGGAAAAAATTAATTATTTTTAATAATATGTGAAAATCTCCGCCTTTTACCTGAAGACGGTCGCGAGACCAGAAACACGTGTAGTAAAATTATGGAAAATAATGCATAATATTTAAAAAAAAAAAAAGAAAGAAAGAAAGAAAATCCACATTACAACCAGAGACGTTTGCGGCAACTCTCTTCTCTCCTTTTTAATATACACACTTTTCTCTCGTTGGAACCTCTTTAACCTCTTTCTTTTATATATATATATATATATATATATATATATATATATATAGAGAGAGAGAGAGAGAGAGAGAGAGAGAGAGAGAGACATGACACAATTCAATAGACACCAAGATAAGTTTTATTTCTGATTTTTTTTGATAACCAAGATAAATTAACTTAGATTATTTGATTAAAATTGCAGATAACAATACTGGAACATGCCCCGAACCAAAGGAGCATCAGACGTATCCGAATTTCAGCGAGGACGTATCGTGGGCCAACATGAAGGTGGTCTTAGTCAAAGAAAAATATCTGAAAATCTTTCAATACCCCTTTCTACTGTTAATAGAGTGATCGTACAATCCACCAGAGGGGGCAAGAAGTGCACAAAACCTCATCCAGGCTGTCCTGGGCCCTATGAAAGAACCATGCGTCTTGTCGAAAGAAATGTTGAACAGGATCCACGTTGCAAGGCCTCTGACATAGCAACACAAGTTGATATCAGTCCCAGAACAGCTGTCTGGTATCTTCAGAAGCTGGGCTACTATGGCAGAGCTGCAAGAAGGAAACCACTTCTCCGTCCAGCCAATATCAAACGCAGAAAGGATTGGGCTCATGAGATGGTGGAAAGACCTGTGACCTTTTGGACCACTGTCATTTTCTCTGATGAGTCAAGATTCGCATTATTTTCCGACAGTGGAAGAGTATGGTTATGGAGACTCTGTAGTCAAGAGATTGATTTAAAAAGACTGCAGCCAACGGTGAAACATGGGGTCTTTTCAGTAATGGTATGGGGTGCAATTTGGAGTGATGGTCGCTCAGAGCTTGTGGAGTGTGAAGGAAACATTAATTCAACCAAATATGTCTCTATATTAAAGTAAGGGCTCCTTGCAATATTCTCAAGTAGTAGAATGAGTAAAGTTGACTCCCTATTTATGAAAGATGGAGCTCCATGTCACACTGCTCAAGCAACGCAACATTGGTTACGACAAAATGGGATCTATAAACTTCCATGGCCAAGCCAGTCCCCGGATATTAACCCTATTGAACACCTTTGGAGCATATTAAATCGAAAACTCCGCAAAAAGAACAGAAAGCTATCTTCTAAGCCTGAACTTTTAGGATTATTGTGTCAAACATGGCAAGAAATCCCTCAAGATGATATTCGTGAACTCATCGCTAGCATGCCTAGAAGGGTCTTTGCATTAAAAAAAGCAAAAGGGATGTCAACAAAGTATTAGTTATTAAATTTATGACCATTTATAATTACTTCATTTGTATAAATTACTTGTTTAATAAAATAAACGGTTTCTGTGAGCGTCTATTCAATTCTGTCATGTCTGTGTATATATATGTTCATATCTAACAGCAATGAAATTAACATAGATGGGAGCTTACCTGATCAAAGACTGTCATAGCTGGTCACACAGTGAGCATCAAACTTATTACAAGAGCGGACAAAAAGCAAGTCTCGCTTGAAAAGTCTCCCTCTAAATACGTCTCCCTACTGTAAACAATGTTTTAATAGAGAGAAGCGATGATATTTTTCAATCTTAAAAGCATAGTGATATGGATCGGAAGATTTTGTTGCGACTGGGGATCTTCTGCCTCCCCTTCAAAACAACATTCACGGCTCCGATCATTGGCAGGCCTTGAAGAAGTGCCTCTGAATTCAGATGAAAATACTTAGTGATCTTAAATATAAGAAACAAGTCAAATGGACATGTACATGAATATTGGATCAATAAGTTCGTAGCTTGTCAACTTTCTGATCGCAAATATTCATTGTCTAATGTTTGGACACTGTGATTAATCTTCAATACATAGGAGATCGTAGTTAAATGTATTGACAAGGAAATTTGAATATTTCTGATGTCAAGTGTATATATATATATATATATATATATATATATATATATATATATATATATATATATATATATATATATATATTATAAACATAAAAATGTCTTGAAAATAATTGTCTATTTCATAATGTGTGACGTCATTTGGATACGCTTTGAGCAGATAGGAATGTACGTGAGAGATTCATGGAAAATTGAAGTTTAAAGGTAGTAAATTCGACCTTGCTAATCGAACGATCCTCCGTAACTCGATCGGTTAAGAGCACATCAGGCTATATGACGGTTCCGTATAGGATACAGGTTCGATTCCTGTCGGAGGGCTAATATTTTCTTTGAAAATTCAGGCCGGTAAATGTTGTTAATACTGTTTATTATAAAACAGATCATTTACTTAAATATTTGTATCTATAAAAAGAAGGTATACACATAAAAATGTCTTAAAAATAATTGTCGAACTTTGTCCATTTCATAATATATATATATATATATATATATATATATATATATATATATATATATATATATATATATATATATATTAATAGGCTATGGTAGTACTTGCTATATGTACCAAATTTCTATATTAATAACTATGTGTACATACATACTTCCAAAGTTGGAAAGCGGGCACTTGTGTATGAAAGTCAAATGAAAATTTGTGTAGTTAGGTAATGGAGATGTTATTCTGGCATTTTCGATTTGTTCGGTAACTAGCAAAGATTCTCTCTTGGTAAGATTCCATGTTTCTTTTTTTTTTTTTTTTTGTTCTATATTAACCGTCACCTCCTCCGAAGACTTAAATAGATTCGTGCAGTCGACATATGTTTGTTATATCAAAACGGATGCTTCTTATCTCTTAGTTCTTTTTTTTCCTCTTTTATTAAGTCTGTTTTATATCACAAGGTTATTGGTTGTCAACTTTGCTTTTGCGACTCTTCGATTTACGCTACAACACCAGTTGTTGTTGCGTCCTGGGTAAGACGATAAACTACATCCAGCAGCAAGGCCTCTGAACGGGAGGTTTTGAGGAGCGTGGAACCACCTCTTAATTGCTGGTGTTCCCAGGTCCACACTGTTCAGGGGTAGTAGCACCTTTTAGGGTTACAGCTATGGGCAAATAGGTAACTATTACCAGCAATACTTTTTTGAAAAAAATTATTAACAGCAATATAATTTTGAAGGAAATATATTACCACAAACAGGCTTTTGACAAAATATTACCACCAATAAAATTTTTGTCGGCATTGAGGTTGATATGCCGTAAAACAAAATAAAGCAAACCAATCTAAACCAAAGAATACATATTCTACTCATACAAATCTATCCAAAAAATTTTGTCGGCATTAAATAACCCATTGAGGTTGATATGCCGTAAAACAAAATAAACCAAACCAATCTAAACCAAAGAATACATACTCCATTCATCCGAATCTATCCTAAAAATTATGTCGGCATTAAATAACCCATTGAGGTTGATATGCCGTAAAACAAAATAAACCAAACCAATCTAAACCAAAGAATACATATACTATTCATACGAATCTATCCTAAAAATGTTGTCGGCATTAAATAACCCATTGAGGTTGATATGCCGTAAAACAAAATAAACCAAACCAATCTAAACCAAAGAATACATATTCTATTCATACGAACCTATCCTAAAAATGTTGTCGGCATTAAATAACCCATTGAGGTTGATATGCCGTAAAACAAAATAAACCAAACCAATCTAAACCAAAGAATACATATTCTATTCATACGAATCTATCCTAAAAATGTTGTCGGCATTAAATAATCCGTTGAGGTTGATATGACGTAAAACAAAATAAACCAAACCAATCTAAACCAAAGAATACATATTCTATACATACGAATCTATCCTAAAAATGTTGTCGGCATTAAATAACCCATTGAGTTTGATATGCCGTAAAACAAAATAAACCAAACCAATCTAAAGCAAAGAGTACATACTCTATTCATACGAATCTATCCTAAAAATGTTGTCGGCATTAAATAACCCATTGAGGTTGATATGCCGTAAAACAAAATAAAACCAATCCTGTTTTTGTTGCTTCTGTTGTTTTCCTCTTCTACTTCTTCCCTCTCTTCCCCCCTCTTCCTCCTCCTCTTCCTACACCTTCTTCATCATCTTTTTATTTCTTTTTCTTCACG